ATTCATTGATAATGAGAATTTGATATCATTGTTAGAAACAAAAGTACAAGAACAATTCAGTTCCTTTTGTTCTTCTTTACTTTGATCATAATGAATTGATTGATCTTTTGCTTCATTTGTATGGATTATCATGGTGATTGTTTGTTCATCCATGTCACGATTACGATATTTTCATCGGAAGCGTTGTAGTTTACGATTGTTTTGACTCTTGTTTTTCTTTGACTGCTGATGGTAATATTGCTGCTCTGATTCTTGTTCGTTGCACAATGGATTCGATGGAGGTTGGTACCAAAAATAGTCCTGATCGTTGAATATGTTTCCGTTCATGAAAATAATAATCTATAACATTCTTCAAAGATATCAGTATAGTCGAGAAAAAAATATAGCAACAGTCATAATCCTTAATTTACTGAAGCAAGAACAAAACATGTATGCATATCAAGAACATGTCACAACGACGAATCGACCAGAATTGTTCATGATCGTCTCGTCGTTGGCGGATTAATGACAACCACAGCACTATACAAGCGTGAGAGATCTTCTTCGATGTCCCGTCGAAGAACTCGACAATGTAAATAGTTTCGATGTGGTTGGCGCATATAATCACAGATGAGTTGCTCAATCTTTTCGAATAATTCATCAGTCAACTCATCTTCTGTTTGATGAGTATGTATCATTTGTTGTTGCTGACTATTTTCATTGGTCAATGGTGGAGTCAATGGATGCCATGTATGTTCGGTATCATTCGATCTAAGACGATCATTATTATCTTGTTGAGTGGGATGACGTTGCATGAATTCTATATGTAAAAGTCAGGGTGTGGTTGGATGTGGGTGTGATTGTAAAGGGATAGATGATTGACGTTATAAGCATTCCTCATTCACATTAAGTTCGCACACCCACCCATATCCCACACTCACACGTACACCCACACCATCATGTCCATTTTTTCTTCGTTTAGTTCAATATTGATAAGAATGTCTCGATCTACATAAGTGTTTTGTTCGATAAATGTAACTATATAAGAATTTTGTTCATTAAGCTCAATATTAACTAAATGTGATCGAGAACTAACTTTACGGATCGTTTGTTGATTAGGTTCATTAATTTTTTCTACGTAACAATGAAAACTAATAGTATACGGACTCGACTGGTTGTAACTGTAATAATCATTTGTTTCAGATTTGTTTTAAGGTGCTATAATCATTGGAATGATGAGTTGGATGTTTGAACTTGATAAACACTTAAGTTTATTGTGATAAGTGATGTAAATTGTACATTCTTGTGATGAAGATAAACTGCCAATTGTGAAAATAAAATTTTCTTTTAATTTTTCGTAGTGTTCAAATGAACAAAAACTATCATCAAGATGCAATCCATCGTTGTCATTGGTTACAACATCCTTTATATGAACTATATTTCGATCATCAATACGAGCCAAAAATGAGTCGATAATACCTGATGTTATTTTAGTAGGAAAGCAATAAAATGTTTCGACTGATATGTTTTTTTCATTACGAAATATTTGTGTTAGAGTCACTTCAGCATCAAATGAATAAATCTTTGTTTCAATGATCATTTTCTTTAGAAACACATATGGTGTGCTATCGAATGTTGCTCTGTCACGTTTGCTACAAAGCATTTGATAAATATCTGTTTGTGTTTGAATCGACATCAATGAAATTCTTATATCAACAGCCTCAAAATTAGCATTTCGTAATCGAATGAAATATTGTGGTGTCAAATATGCAAAAACAACAGTCTGGACGACAGAAAGAAACGAAGAATATAATTTGAGTCATCGTAAAACAAGAAAACGAATTCGAATGATTCAACATTTATTTTTGAGAGACAGAACTTACTCGTTTTAGCTGTATTATGAAATTATCTTAACCAATTAACAAAGTCTCTCTTTATGTATAAAATTCTAAATTGACTAAAAGCAGAATTTTCTATATCTTTGTAGATATAAGTTAATGTTTACTATAGTATTAAATAGACCCAAAAGGATGAAATGAACTTATGATCTCAATTTACAAATGATTTTTTTATTTAACATACTTTGAGAATGTCATTAAAGACAAAAGGAATTTCTCATGACTATCGAAGAAGATTTTCTTAAGAAAAAATGCGTCTTTTGTAAAAAGCTACAAAATAGACCAAAGTTCCATTTTATTTACTCATATTTTAATTATAATTTTCATATTCGGAATGCATTAGACTATTCATCGAAATTTTGTGTTCCTATCAATAAAAGATTCATGATTGCTATAATATACCGAATTATAAATATTCAAAGAAGTCTGATCTGATTAATAATAAATTAAATCTACAAGAAATATATAATGAGGGCTATAATTCATATGTATTAGATAGTATCTAATCTGATGTAAGGCCCCATCCGCCCCCCCCCCCTCCTCAAAAAAAGTCAATTTTCTTTAGAACTGTCAAAATTGAGATATATACATAGGAAAATAGCCCGTCATCTGCTCTTTCAAATCGATAAAAATTTTTCGAAAAAGTCCTATTTTTTCTACAAAATTTTCAGGATTTCAGAGAATCAGTTGTTGAAAACCCAGCGGTTTTTTGAAATATCCAAGAATCTTTTTCTTTTTTTCTCATTTTTCGCTTTCTCGTACGCGCATCCCAAATTTCTCTGTAATGGATTGTCCAATATATTAATATTTTTTTTTGTTTGAAAGAGTGTGTCAAGATGCAGGGCAGTACGTCACCCTTATTTTGAAATACCCCTATTCTTTAGTCAATATGAGATGAGTGATATAATTTGATTACCATTTTTTGATAAATTTTTTAGTCATTGAACTTGTGACTTCTTTTTTCCGATTAAAGAGGCGGTATTTCAGAAAAAAAGCCGACGTACTGCCCTGCATCTTGACACGCTCTTACAAACAAAAAAGGACGAACCATTACAGAGACATTTGGGTTGCCAAATTAGCTATTTTTCGACCTTGTTCGGTCAGTGAAATAGTTTTGGGCTGAAAATTTTATCACACACTCCCCTTAATACCCCCAACATATTCTCAAAATTTCCGCTCGTTCCAACGTTCCTGGGCTAAGATTGATTTTTGAGAGGAGGGGGGAGTCCTTAAAAATCAAAAATGACACTTAGTGGGTGTGGGTGTGAGTGTGTTTGAACAGAAGATAAACATCAACACCCACAACCACATCCACACTCTTTCATTCCAGACGCTATTTTCCATGCTAATGAAAGTAACAAAACTATCAGGTGAACAATTATCTAATGGTATTAATCGTTGACAAAGATATTGATATAAATCAAATTAATCATATTCAAATACAGTCACTGTTCGTTGTGAATTTAAAACAGCCAATAGAGAACATACATTTGAGTTATTCAATGTTGAAACTAATTCAACTTCTATCCAAAACCTATGCTCTAAAAATATTGCTCAAATCGATTATTACTGTACAACTCCATCGAATTCTTCTCCTTTATACGATTCAATATCGGCCATTCCATTATGATCTCTACGTACTAATAAATGATCATGATATTTAGCTGAATAAGAAATAACTGGTGTCATATCACATAAATGTAATCAAATTGGATTAATCATACTTCTAATAGTTAAATATCATATGTACATATGTTTATCATCGTCGATCAATGCTTTTCCGGGGTTATCATGAGCAAAAAATACTGTTAGCTGCATACAAATCAACATGTTTGATTTTTTAAGAATAGTTTCACATGATTTTTTGAAACTTTCATCATTTGGCAATGGATTTAAACGGCTTGAAAATATCGATGATGCGTGGTTAATTGACATCTTTAGTTTTGAACTTTATTAATCATCAAGAAATGTACGGCAGAGATGGGACTATAGAATATAAACAGGGTACAAATATCTTAACTTTCGAAATATTGTTTCCTTTTTTTGTCCTCTGATTTAATTTAGAAATTCTATTGACACACAATTGATTACCTTCTCTATATATTCGTCACTTCCTGATCGAAGAAGAAAACATTAGTAATCGACTTTTTTAAAAGAAATATAACGTCTATTTATTAGCATAGAAAAAAACTTAATATCAAGGCTGATTGATAGTAACAATGAACTTGATTAAAAAAACGAGTGAAATCTGTAATACTTTCTCAATTATAATTCAGAGGTTAGAAGTTGAAACATGAACTCGATAAATCGAAATATGAAAATAATAGTAAAAATATGAATATGTCATATATTGATTCTTTACAATGCATCACGTCTTTACAAGAACAGTTTGTACGTTAAGACCAAAGTTGAAAACTAAGTCTGTTTAATAATGTAACAATAGCGTCTTCTGTTTGCTTCTAAGAGATAAATATGCACGGTTTTCAATAGTCTTTTGGTTCTATTGAATAATTTTGTAGAAATGATAGATTTTCAAGGTTTATAGAATTGTAAACCATGAGACGATAATGATTAGATGGGAAATCTAAACTTGCGCTATTTCTGACAGACAAATGACGTGCGAGTGAATATAATCGGCATAGATTACTATTGAAAAATAAAACTCCGAATGCTTTAACCAGAAATATATCACACCGATGTGGTCTAGTGGTTACCATATGGTGCCTTCAACGCTATCATCCAGGATCAAATCACGGCGTCAGTTGTTTTTTTTTCAACTATTCGTTTAGTTTTATAATTTAAAAGGTAGCCTTCGTTATTTCGTAGATCTATGATGAAAGCGAAAAAAGAAAAATCTAACCTGTGCATGAGTCACATCATCACTACCCTATTGGCTTTTGGAATTTCTATGATGAAAAACAAACACTTTATCATCGTTACTATATTTACACAATATAATTGTAACTAAAATCACGTAGAATATGATATATATAGTAAACAGAAAATATTTTAGATTTTTCATAGCAATAGAATAAAATTATTCAATATATCGAAAGAATTTATCCCGCGAGAGAAAAACTCCGAAACGTGTATTTTTCTTGTTTATTATTGTCAATAATCTGTAATGTGTTTTCATAAGTAACGAGGTTTAATTTAGAGATGTATAAATAATATAGAAATATAGGTTATGATTTCTATTGTTAATAGAGGCCGACAAATTCAGCTTTAGTTCGGAACTGGTGAACTGTTCAAAATGTTCACTAACATGAACTGAACTGTTTGAACACTTCTCTTGAACGAACTCAACCTTTTCAAACAGTTCAGCTCTATGAACTGATCGACTGTTCAGAAACCTACAATTCCTCAGAGTCCCTCAAGGCCCTCCCATACGAGTACTTAGGGACCATATAGTGCTATCTATAGGGGTACCTAGGGTGTAGGTGTGGCTATAGCTGGTATTATTCTTTTCCACATTCCACCTACACACCCACACCCAAAATACAACTTTTGAAGTTTGAACCCAGGATATGTAACGTTTTTCTGTTTTCAAAACATAAAGCGCACGCCAACAACGCAATTCAATTCATGGCTTAAACTTCACCAATAGGAATTGATGAAGCTGAAGTGAAAATATTTCTTCGGTGGTCGAAAGAAAGTATAAAACGATTCTTTTTCTTTTCAGCTTATTTTTTGTGATTTTGCTGCCAGTGAAAGAAAAATGCAACGTAACCATACTCAAACAAAATTACAATTGTGAAAGAGTCCTAATGCAAGTATTCTTTATCCATTGCGCTGATTGAAATAACATTTTCGCTTTGACTCTTCATCATCTTTTAATAGAAATGAGGAAATTAGTTCCACTTTTCTTATTTATAAAGTTGTTCGAATAAAAACATGTAACCAATAAGATAAAATGTTATAATTGTAACAATCAAACATTTTCTTTCTTGTGTTTCTTTTTTTACATTTGCATACGATTCACATATAAGGAACATCAGACAAAAACTGCTAGTTTTATCGGTCCTGTTAACGAGCCCCATTACCATGGTACCCCACCGGTTCTTACGCGAAAATCTCGGTTAACCAATGCTTCTGTATAGTTAACCAGCACCGTCTGGTCGCTTGTTTCGTTATTATGTATAGTTAAATTTAGTGGTTATTTTTCACTTACAATAATTTTTATTTCAAAAAAAATAATAAAAATACCAGACAATGCGAAAAAAATCATCTTTAGTCGTAAGTATAATTTCTTTTTCAAATGTAAAAGAATCAATGTAAAACAATTAATCTGAAAAAAAATTAAAATTAAAAATTCCATTATAAAAATATATTGATTCTTAACTGAACCTGGTTATCGTTATGGTGAGTCTTTTCTCTAATCAACAAAGCCAACAAAATAAGTTTTGCAGCAGACGCGCACATATGCGTATACATGTTTTCCTCGTTCTGCAGCCAACTGTTTTCTATAGTTCACGGCAAAAATTACCAGCGAACCTCGGTTCGTCGGTGAAATTTATAACGAATGGCAGTATGAATAGATTTTATGCTTTTGGAGAGTTTCCTGGAAACTCCATTAAGCACCAGGACAATAGGTATAGCGGTATAAAGATGGAATTGTTAGGTGTTGCGGAAGGGCAGGACGTCAGGGGAAGGGGGAGTTATCAGAATTATAGAAGGTGTAGGTGCCTCCTATACCAATAAA